GTGTGTGTGTGTGTGTGTGTGTGTGTGTGTGTGTGTGTGTGTGTGTGGTGTATGCATTGGTGTATTGTGTGTGTGTATGTGTGTGGTGTAAGCATGTGAGTACACATATGTGCGTGTGCACGCTGAGCACGGAGGTCGACAGTGGCTGTCTTCGTTGACTGATCTCTTCCTCATGACTGCAGCAGATCTCTCACCGGAACACCTAGCGAGCCAATTCAGCTAGCCCAGCTTGGCAGCTTGCTTTGGGGATCCCTCGTGTCTGCCTACAGAGGGCTGTGGGCTGCCATCCCTGCTTGACGTTTTCCTAGATGCTAAGGGTCCAAACTCCAGGCCTCCCCCTTGGGTAGCAATTACCTACTGAGCCATCTTCCCGGGCCCTCTGTCCCACCATCCTTTTAATTGAGTCTTTACAGAACAAACTCGGGGGTTACAGCAAATAGGATGATGGTCCGGAGATTTCCCCTACAATCCTGTCAATAATTTCATCAACTTCTCCCATTGTCAACACCCCCAACCACAGTTGGGACAACCGTGATCACCCTAACTAACTCCATGGCTTTTGTTAGGGTTCTCTGTTGTACACTGTGTGGGTTTGGATAAACACATGGCATGTATCTGCTATCACGGTCACATGGAATGGTTTCAGTGTCCTCAAAGCTTCTGTGCCCCGCCTGTTCATCTGTCTTTCCTGACAACAAGCATATGACATCATATGTCACTGGGAATATGCAAATTCAAAGATCATTGTTCCCAGGAGAGCCAGTGATCTTTTTTTTTTTTTTTTTTTTTTTTTTTTTTGCCTTCAGGATTTTGACTTCCAGAATGTCATATAGTTGGATTCATACATGATATAGCCTTTTCAACAGATTGGCTTATTTCACTTGGTAATATGCCCTTAATTCTTTTTCAAGCTCCTCACACCCCTTGTTGTTGATGCAGCTTGATAGCTCATTTTGTTTTAGCACACAATAACCTCCCTCTTTCTGGGCATATCACTGTTTATCCCTTTATCTATGGAAAGGCTTCTTGGTTGCTTCCAAATTTCACCAACTATGAATGACGCTGCTGTACACATTTGTGCACTGGTTTTTGTATGGACGGAAGGGTTAACACCTTTTGGTAAACACTGAGGAGAGAGATTGCTGGATCCTATGGTTAAGACTATGTTTAGTTTTACAGGAAGCTGCCAAACTGCCTTCTAACATGGCCGTGCCATCATGTACTCCCTTTAACACGGAATAAGAGCTTCGGTTTTCGGTTTTCACGCTTGGTGGGGTTGTGTTCCGGCTTTTGACCGTTCTAACAGGTAAGCAGCAGTATCTCACTTTAATTTGCATATTCCCAATGACTTAGGATGTCATGTACTTGCTTGCCAGCTGTGTATCTTTGGTGAGATGGCTGTTCACATCTTTGGACCATTTTAAATTGTTCATTCTGTATTGCTGAGGTTTACTAACTTGCCTGTTGATTTCCCACAACAGTCTTTTATCAGATGTGTCTTTTCTAAGCATATTTTACTGTCTGTGGCTTGCCTGTCCATTGCCTCAACAGTGTCTTTCTCAGATCAGAAGGGTTTTTTGTTGTTGTTGTTGTTGTTTTGTTTTGTTTTTAGATCAGAAGTTTTTAA